TGATGATGGAACCTTTAAAACAAGCTGGATTTTGCAAGGGATTTAGCTGCGTGAATCACATCTAGACGCTTTTGAGGTTTGCCGAGAGTACCGCCCTCCTCTCGTCCTAACCTTAGTCGACTATGAGAAAGCATTTGACAGCGTCGAGAAATGTACTTTGCGCTCGTGGACCAAGGGGTGAGCTCATCATGCGAGAGGACGTTAGCCGACTTCTACAAAAATTGCACTACAACGGTACAGCTTTTCCATCGCCTCATAAGAATCACTGAATCAAGCAAGACTGCAGAAAACAATGAGAAGGACTATAGTGGTTTATTGAAATTTCATATCTATTTTATCTATTTCCTATAACGGACCATCAGTATTACGCAATATGGGTTCTCCACAGGGGCAATTTCCCACGTGTATATGAAGTACAGAGCGTAATGTAATATGTTTCCTAATAACAAAATATGACAGGAAAAAGCGGGAAGATCAAATAGGCTTTACACAAATTGAAAGAATTTGTCGGTAGCCCTTATTTTTGTCCTCTCCCTTATTGGATGTCTATTTCCATTCTTAATGGGGGTTGAACAATACCATATCGCTAAAGCTGTTTACCGCCGCCCTGCGGTGGGTAATGAAATCACTGGATTGGACGGGAAAGGTATACAAGTTTATGGAAGACTCGAACCTTCGTTTTTGCGTATGACATTGTTGTTTTATAGAAGTATATTGAAGTGAGGACGGTGCTGAAAGAAATAAACGAAGTAGGGAAGCGAGTGGAACTGCAATCAACAAGAGGAAGACGTAGTACATGATGAACGGTTTTCGTGAGGATCAGGGAATGGAATTAGAACGCTCTTCATTCGCGTGACGTACATCTCAGGCGTCCGATAAACATGAAGAACAATCTAACAGGCGAAAAGCTGCTCGGGCCGCTTTCGGACCTCTACAGGAAGCCACAGACCAGCTGAACCCAGATCTCCGAGCCCATCTGTTCGACTCAATCGTTCTCTTTGCTCTACTACGCAGCAGGAACGTGGCCCGACACTGTGGCTACATAAAAAGCTCTTCAAACAACTCATAGAGCTTGGGACGACGTCTTCGGGAGTACAACCGACGCACTCAGCATCTTGTCTGACTTCGCAGTTCATTGAGATTAGTGTTTCGTCTTCGCGATCCAACGGAATACGTCTTTAAAGCAATACATCGATGAGTTAGTCATATAATGAGAAGGACAGACGACATATGGACACTAAGACCACAATGGATCCCTCGCAGAGCAAAACGCCCTCGAAAGGCAGCGACCGGATGAACTGAGGTGTTCGTTGCATGGATGGACCAGCTGAATTCTCAGCTGGTAACGATTATTGGATCTGCGTAACGTCGCCACTGCAGTTTAATACCAACATCGTGGATGACGCTAGGGAGAGACATTAACGGATGGAAACAATGCTGGGGCCTATACGACGAGTGAAGACAGGCCATCTAAGTATCTAAGTAAATAGGTACTATGTATCCACACACGACCGTAGCCTGAGAAGTGCCAGATATTCTCTTAATATAAGGGCTAATCCCGGCATGCCACCGCACGTGGGGGTCGAAGTAGCATTATGTGGTTCTCAAATCTGGCAACAACGGGAAGTTAGGAATGTTCTTTGGATACTGGAATTTTTAATTTTCACCTTTTTGGATGTAAAATTAATTCAAGGAAATCAATGAACTTTGCATCACTTATCCTAAACTTGGGTTAGTTGTTTATGACAGTTCTGCATATATCCTACAACAGCTTTGAATTAAAGTTTTGTTTGAAAACTTCTTGTCGTATAGTACTCATCCTGGAAAGGCGTGGTGCTCAGAACTCCGCCCAATTCTTTAATCATCATAGCTACATCCAAACCAACAGGTGTACTTGCAAAATTAGATCTGCTCTTTAAACAATGATCCTACATTTTTCTAGGCCTATAAAAGCACAAATATATGATATTATGTTATCATTTTAGTAGTTAATTTAAGTGGCACATCTGTGTTACCATCCCAATCCATTTGTGTTTCTCTCCTTAATTAATTGCCAAAATCCTGACTCATTGCTAGTCTTAAACGTATATGATAGTAGACAAAAAGGCGTCAAAGATATAATTCTTCAGTTGTAAACGTTCAACGACGCCGTTGGCTAGATTCGTAAAACACTATCAAGGAACTGCAGCAAGTGAACGAGCAGCAAAACACAGGTGAGAGCAATCTAACTTATGGTTTGATATATTTCTAATGAGCGTCAACTTTTTCATTAATGTCACTTTGGTTTGTTCCTATCTATCATCAGCACCATTAAAAAGCAGCTCTGAGAATTGATGAAACTTAGAAACGTTCCTAAAATTCTCGGAACAACTGGCTACACTTCTCTGGTTATGCTGGACTATTAATGATTGGCTTGAACTTAGAAACGATGACTCTAGTTTATTTATGAGAGAATTGATGCTGTATGTCATCCCTCTACTAGCAGAGCTCGAGATCTTCTTTGAGTGAAGAAGGAATGGGAACGAATTATTGAGGAAAGCTGCCTAATTATAGACACTACAACTGAAATAGGCGTGGCAAGCATTGTGCAACAATCGTTCAGTTTCTGCAATTGGAAACTTCGCAAACACTATAGCATCCGTTAAGTGCGCACTCTTCGATTTCTGCAAGCGCACAAATTTTTTGTTACATTTCGGTCCGCATTTGTTTCTCGCACTCCTGAGCGCAGAAAGTCAAGGGAACAAAGAATTTTCTCTGAACAGTTGTTCCCGAAAAAGTCATTATCTAGTTTAACAGATTAGAAAGGATAAAACATGCGCGTGGATTTGCATGTTCAAAAAGAACATTCACATCCGAATTTTTAGCTCAGAGCTTACTGATTAGAATCAATTTCTAAGAAATTGTGCTGCACAAGAAACAGTTCTAATTTCGAAGTGAGCAGATCTATGATGATGTAACACAAACCCAGCCCAATTTCGGCATGTGTATGTTAACAAGAAATGAATCAGAAAGCTCGACAACGATGTGAAGTATAAACACACATCGTAAATATATTAACACAACGGAGCTTTCATTATAATTGGTTTAATGTTACGAGGTTACAAAGAAAGAAGGCAAGTTCCTAAGGAAGGGATGTACCCCTAGTTTATAGAAGTGAGCAACCGTTTTGAAATCAACGAGTAATAAAGGCAATCGAGTTCTTCCATAAGGCTATTGTGACTGCCAATCTGAAAAATAATGTCTCTAAAAGAAGTACGATGGGAGCTACAAAAAAACGAGTAGATAAGAGTTTCCACACAAGGTAAGCGCAAGAAAGTGTCTAGAAATTTTTTTTTACGAAGTTTAAGTTTATCGCTATCTTCGATTACAATTATAAGGATAGAAGGGGAAAACCTTATGATAAGCACACCTGAACAACATTTCCTTCTTCAATCACAACAATTGTATCAGCATTTTCAACGGTTGAAAGACGATGAGCAACGATGAGTATATTCGTTTACGAGCCCATCTGGGAAAACAATTAATTGAGATGGCTATGGACCAGTTTGCAACAGAAAAACACCTGTTAATTGCTTCTTGTACCTGGGCTTCGGATTCTGCATCCAAGGCACTTGTGGCCTCATCTAAAATTAGCACGCATGCATTGCGAACCATTGCACGTTCAATGGCAATGCGTTGTTTTTGAGCACCTGGAAAAAGAAAAGAAAATCTCTAGCTTGTACATTGTCAAGTCCCACTTTTTAAACGAAAGCTAAACTTTTAAAAGTAACGATTTGGGCTAGCCATCTTCAGTATTGAGATTTTACCCACCAGACATCTGCACTCCCTTATCACCACATGGGGTGTCATAAGCTTTCTCTAACTCCATCACGAAATCGTGTGCATTCGCCATCTTTGAAACCTCTAACATGTCTTTCTCAGTAGCTCAGTCACATCTGTAGAGAATATTCTCTCGGATTGTCCTATTGTACAGAATTGGTTCCTGCGCTACTAGCGCTACCTTTGGCTCACCAGGATACCAGTCATACTCCTCATAACTCCAACCTTACCCGTTCATGACAGTACTTATGATCCACACTTTGAATTGGGATACCATCGATTGTCATCACGACACTATCAGACTCATACATGTGGTGGATGAGTGAGACGATCGAAATCTTTCCTCCGCCACTAGGCTCCACTAAAGCGACAGTCGTACCCGCTTCGATTGTAAGATTAAGACCCTAAGAGACTTATAAACGCATGTTGTACTTACATATATAGCCTCCGAATAACTGCTTGTAGGTGTGTAAGTGCTTTACTTACCTTTAAAATGTGATTGCTGGAGCGAGGCGGGTACCTGAAGCAAACATCTTTGAAACATATAGTTCCACATCTTTGAAACATATAGTTCCCTGCAGAATTGGCCGTTGTTCACCATCGAAAGGCATCTTGGGCTTACGATACATATATTCGAACACCTGAGTTGTGATTCTGCTACTGTTTATAATGCTTGTATCTAAAGTTACAATCGGCTGCGAGAAGCGTGGTGGACCAATCAAGTGTGCATTTCGCGCGATTTGACAAGCTTTGCCTTCCTTAATGTTCTTAGTTATGGAACTAATAGCTGCGTTTAAATTTCAGGAAATGCTTTATGGGCATTTGATAGAGGCCTCAAATTCACTGATTATAAAACTCCGTAAAGTACTGTCAATCTCAGCAATTTATGCCTGGAATTCTTGAGAATCCTAGACAACTGTTTTG